AGGGCGAGGTATTTATTCCACAGTTAAAAGAAAACGGGATTCAGACTCGTAATGTTTGATTTAACTGGGCAAAGCGTTTTTTTAGGCTGTTCAGTAACCCTCTCTCTCATCCTGTGCATACGGAGGATTATAACCGTGAATTACCGAAATATTGAAGGCTTTCGCGATAATGAAGAACACACAAGAAGGAACACGCGGCTTGCAATGTCCCTAAAAAGCAGGCTAAGTGGCGGAAGAGTACATGCGTTGCTATGATGCTATCTATTCTCAGATAGTGTTGTGTTCTTGCTACACGGGTCGACGAACTTGTGGGATACCTTACTTTTGATAAGACCACCTTAAGAATGAAAGTAAACCGTAAATAAGAAAATCTTTTTTTTTTTTATTATCTGAAAAATAAAATAAAAAGAGTATTTTTTATTGGATTTATATCCTTCCTTTAATTAATTTATTATTTCACCTTGTACTGATTCCAACCTTATGTTACCTAACCTAAGCCTACCGATAACAAAAAAAAAAAAAAAAAGTCTGGTGCGCCTTTCTTTTAATAAAAACAATAATAATAATAAAAACTGAAATTAACAGCATGATACATTCAATAAAATCATGTACATTTATTTACAATTAAGAGAAGGAGTTGCTCGGGGGGTGCGGTCAAATAAATACTAAATTATAGAAATAGTATTATATAATTTTTGCCGACGTTTCGATCCACTTTGCAAGTCTTCATCAGGGCTAAAAAAAAAATACAAAATATATAAGGTACATGGTGAAAATAAAAGAAATTAATATAAGTAGGTATAAAATAAGAAGAAGTTGTCTGATAAAGAAATAAAAAGATGATATCAGAGGTAAAGTGGGTGACAATGTAATTAAAATATCAAGTATTATATCTTATTAAACAAAAATAGAAAATAAGTATAAATAATATAGAAAACAAAGGGGAATATAGCTGTAGAAATAATCTGTTTACTATTAACTTACATGCTATATTCTCCTTTGTATTCTATTTTTTTGTATCTTCTATGGATATAGTTCTATATATTTTAACTACATTGTCACCTACTACATCTCTGGTATCATCTTTTTATTTCTTTTATCTTTTTATCTTCTTATTATATATCTGCTTATATTAATTTATTTTATTTTCACCATGTACCTTTTATATTTTGTATCTTTTGTAGGCCTGATGAAGATCTGCAAGGTGGGTCGAAACTTCGGTAAAAAATTATATAATACTATTTCTATAATTTAGTATTTATTTGACCGCATTCCTTCCCCCCGCCCTCACGATCAACTCCTGATATTATATCACGGTCAACCATCTCTACATCATTATGTGTAATTAAATTACAACTTGTTTTTAAAACTTTATTTTATGTTACGTAGGATTTATTAGGGCGAATAAACTTTTGCCTCAGAATATTAAACAGAAATCCGAAGATCTGCAACATTTTTAAAATCATAACGTAGATTTTGGAATTAAATAAAGTAACAAAGCGCTAAAATTAAAATATTGGTTAATCGCAGTTTTACTTTAGAAATATATCCATATGAAATAGTAAAGAATATTATACGTATTGAAAGAAAATGATGGAGTATTATTTATATGAAGTAAAGTTAGTTTAGTTTTCTCTGATTCCTATTGTTTAGGTCTGCTATTTACTCCCGTTTGTTTTTTTTTCTTTTTTTAAAAACTTATTTATTGAAAATTATTACAATCTTTCTTAAGGACATTTATAATAGTGTTCACAGATCACACTCCTATGTTAAGTTCGTTTTTTAATACTAAGTTGTTACTTATGAAGTTATCCAATATGTATTGTATGTGTTAGCTATATGTATTATATTCCATATTCCAAATTTAAGATGCCAGGTAACTATGAATATTTTCAACAAAAACTCAAAGCAAAAATATTTATCTATAATCATAAGTGAAGAGGAGCGAAGTAAAAATTAGGCGCATTTCGCATAATATTTCACTCTTATTGTATATTGCAATTATATAAAATACTTAAAGCTATTTTCACTGTATGTTCTTTGGTTAAACATATTTTTGAGGAGAGTAATCACTACACTTAAAGATTAAATAGAATAAGATTGACCCCCAAATTTTTCTATAGCCCTTAATGACAATGGATCTTCAGTATCATTGGTATTTAAATTTAAAAAACTTATCATTTCTACTTCTTATTTAATTTCATTCTGTAATTTGATAACTTTTGTATACAGTTTTCTATTGTTGTTTTTTTTTTAATAATATAGTCTAATTTTTTTAATAATTAGTAGTTGAAATAAAACGTAGGCATTGATGACTTGGGAGTTTTACACCTATAAACAACAATAAAAAACAAAATACTTACAGCAATTATAATTGATGGTAAGCAATAATAAAATAGACCAGGGTGTAACAACTACAAAGGTGTTGACATTCCCAAAAACCTTAAATTAATAGTGTAAAATGCCATAGTCCTGATATTTCGCTACGAGACTTGGACATGAACCGACACCATAGAAAGAAAAATAAGATAAATAACTGGAACATCTTCCGCACGATTAACAGGGCGCTCTGGGATCGGAGCAGTATAACATAGAAGAGATGAACCAATAAGGAACTGCTTACAGAAGCTGGTCAATCAATATCCGATGATATGAAAACCAGAAGGTTAAGATTGACGAAGCATGTAGCTCAGAGCAGTCCATCAGTGTACACTCACATACGCCGCACATATAATAATTATGAAAAGTAATTACTTTAATTGATTGCAATCTAAGAGTGAAATATTATGCGAAATTAGCTTACTGTTATTTTGTTCGGGTATACATCGCAATTCTCTCACTAATTTGTCTTTATTTTACATTCTTATCAGGCTCACAATCTCCGAAGAATGGGAGTCACTAATTGGCGGGCGCCAGTCAGATCAACCAGGCGAAGGCTGCCTCTGTAGACTAAGTTCAAAATAAAATGATATAGAATCATGGACGAAGAGTGTATAATATTTTAAAGTATATATACTTTCTTTTGTATGTTTACCAGTAGTGTGTCGGTCGCATGTTGTTTGTCTGATGTTCGATCCCTAACAAACCCGTGTAGCCAAAAGGCAAGATAGAGAGATGTAAATAAAACTCATGCTGAATTTTATTTAGTACGGATTTTTTATATTAATATTTCTTTTACATTACCTTTTTAAAAATTAAAAATAACATTTGACATTTATGCTATAATAATATGACAGAAATTATTCTTTTTTTAGTTTACAACAATTTCATGTCATTTAACGTTAACACTTTTGTAACTCGATTATAATCACTTAATCATTTTCTGCAAAGAAAATAATATTATACAATAAAATAAGGATGTGTTCATATTTTAAAGTTAAAACAAATTATTTAGCTTAGTTCCAAACAGTAATAGTCCGGTCAGATCCATGAGATATTTGACAGTTATCAGTGTGGCATTGAAGTCTTGAAGCTTATAACTTCGTTAGGGAAAGTTATAATCGGAAGTGTAGCGGTTGAGCTTCCATTATTAAAATAGTTTAACGTAACAGTGATCCTTATTCAGACGTAATGAAGAGAAAGCTATCAAGAATTATTACAGATGAAACCGTTCAGTTGGACGGGTGCATGACATATGCAGATAATAAGATTTATAGAAAGGTCTTCTCCTCTAACGATATGGAAATATGATTGGATAGTATGCAGTCATCAAACATCCAATCATTGTTGGTAACTTTATTCTAATCGTTCTTTCAAAATTTCCCAATTACTTTATAATAACTTTGAAAAATGAGAGTAAAGGAGAATATTATAGCGGCGATGAAAAAAGATAACTGAGATGATATGACCAAATGAGAAGATAAAATTATTACAAGATACCTAGGTACAGAAGATTGATGTTAGTATAATAATTTATATTTAGATATACAAAGGCCATTCCACTATAATTATGATGGATTTCTTTTTGTGCAGGGAACAGTCAAATATTGATATAATATTCGATTTAATGTAATAGTTAATTAGGTCCCTTTCTTTTGACATCTAACAGTGACTGAGTCTATTATATGAGTCAATAAATAAAATTGATGAGATTAAAACATTTTAAGAGGTTTTGACGTGTTTAACCATTTTCTTTCGAAACTTTAGTCCTTCTAAATCACATATCTATGGTCGGAAACTGTAATAGTGTAAGCAGATTTTTATTCACTCATCCGCAAATTTATTGTTTAGACAGTTTATATTTGTATTTTTTTTTTTCTTTTAACACATTCATTGCGATGTTTCAGAGAATATCCTTCCCAGAATTGGAACTTTTATTTTTGAACATCAAATATTTCACCTGTATTTTTTTGGTCCCTGTTGTTATACATTATAGAATATTCGTTAACTTTGTTTTTGAATTGCCGGGAGCTATTGAATATCAAATGGTTTCTTGAATTATTCATGAAATTTAAATAATTTATAATTCATAGAAACCATTTGATTATGAATAGCTCCTTTGCTTGTTAAATTGAATTTATTTTAGACATTGAATTTTCTCCTAAAAGAATTTTTTATATTTGTAATGATGGTTAGATAATTTCTTAAACGATTAATTATTATGTGAGACATCATCACATGATTAATTATTATAATTATTGAATTGGTTCAAGTCTAAAAGTAAGAGTACAGGACAGTTATTAGCAACTGTAATTTCATAGATTTTATAATAAACGGTCTAATTATTACACAGAGTGGGTAGATAGAAACGGGCCTAATTCCAGGAATTAGTTTTATATGTGTAAATAACTCCTGGGGTTCGGCAGGTTTCTTCCGAAACACTATACATCGGATTATTATATATTACATCCAAGTATTGATCATATTTTGTTGATATATTATAAACATATCCCTTGACCAGATAATTTCATCGAGGATTGCCTTTTAAAATTTAAATCTCCGATCGCCTGAAGTTTAAAATACTCCTGAGGAGGAAATAAAAACAAAGTTGACTAAGGCTGATGAAACGCGTTGATTGGGCTCGCCTCTTGGAGAGAAGGATGTCCCAAAAAGACGACAGGAGGATACCAGCTCAGGGTCAGCGTAGGAAGATCAAAGGTATAGTGCCTTAATGACCGAAGCACCACCCACAAAGGCCCCTGTTTTTTGTTGCACTATTGTGCTCTCCTCATTCCTTGACCGGCAGATACTGACCTTTCTGTCTGTCCTTCGCCTCCTCATCAATTGAAGAAGTCTGGAGGTGGTTGAGAAATCTTTCGTTTAATGGAGCTTGTTAATTCTTTAATCATTGTTCATATTTTGATGTTTATTGAAATTTAATTATTGAAGCAGAAAGATCATTTTGTGTAAAATGTCTTAATAAAACAATGGACGCCTCAGTGCCTAATATTAAAGTTTTTGATTTGTATAATAAGCTCACTTCGACAACGAATACCAATTTAGTAATGAACAGATTTCGATGATTTATTTTCCCTTTTTTTTCGTTTAAGATCTTTTAAATCTAATTTAGATAGAGTTAACCATCTAGATTTTGCACTGCTGTGTTTGCCGTATAATTGTTGATTATTCTTTATCTTAATCGATTATAACAGTAAATCAGTGGTGAGGAGCTTGTGTTTTTCAATTACGAATTATTTTCTTTTTTAAATACTTAAAAATATTTTGTCATTTTCTACAAAAGATTTTTATGTAGCTTATTATATAGTATAAAATATCAAAGACAAATATTTCACCTTGTCTTGTGGAAAATTATTGGAACAAATCTTATGAACGATGAACGAACAAGCAAAGAAGGTTTTTTTTTTTTTTTAAGTAGGACTTGCTTTCAGTATAAACATGAAAATATCATACAAATACTATATAAAATGGTTGTAATTGTAAAACGATTCATGTTTTTAATGTTTCCTAAACTTAGTTTTTTATATTGAATGTGGGAAAATTAGCTCAAAACGTAGCCTGATGTAATAAAAACATGATTTTTAAAAGGATATGATTTTTCATTTATGGAAAGTAATATTAAAATGTATGCTGGAACATTGATTTTGTTGAAGTATTAAGTAAAATAAGTCATTTAAAAAAAACTACATATAACGGCCAATTATTTTACTCTTTATATTTCTAGGAATTTTATAACACACACACACACACACACACACACACATCAACAACAGCGCTAAAATGGGTTTGTTCATTACATCTTTAAAAACATATTTTTACCAAAATACAGAATATTAAGTCCGAAAAGAGAAACTCAATGAAATAATGAGAGCACAACAATAATAAATTCCATATAGGTACCAATCTGAATTTCTTAATTTTACGATAAATAGTATACATAGGTCCTTCCAATTATTTTTAGGTATAAAAATGATGTTAGGCCATTTATTAAAATACCTGATATTTATAAAATATTGCGTCCAAAGTCGCAAAACTAAGTAGTTACATTAAACCAAAATGTTATTTATGGGGAAGTAATCTTAATTACTTTCCCTATTTTACAAAATCTATTATTTGAATAATAAAAAGAAATATATATTTGTAGAGCATAATATTTTTCGTTGTTTTTAACTACCTTAAAATTCAGATAAATTGAGCTTATTCTAAGCACATGCATTTGCATGCATGATAGGGTGTGATCTTTTTTTTTTTTTTTTCTTTTGGTTATTCGTAGAGCATAGGAGAGCAAATAAATTTATTTGTTGTAAGAGTAATTTATTTACAGACTACCTCACTAACCGTTCAAGAACAAAATTCATTTGGCAGCTGATAATAAAGAAATCGCTTGCCTTTAATGTGCCTTCGGTTCATGAAAGAATAGAGTTGAAAATTGTAAGAGAACAATCGCAAGTTATTGTGTGCCGTTGAGTGCTTCTTGGCTACAAGCGTTTGGTTGCAAACAGCAGCTGCAATGTTGGCACACCTGGCATGATGTAAAGCACCTATGCAGGGCGGGTCTTCAAGCAAATTCATGAGATGTAAATACTGTTTCATCTATCTTAGGTTAAAACTATTACTATATTTTACAGTGTTTTTTCCAATTTGATTTAGCCTAGGAAAAAAAAATACAGTCTTCAAAAACTAAAGTTGTATAAAATAGCCTATTTGGACCTACGCTTTACAGATATATGGGAACGCCAAAAAGACTCACATACGTAAATTACATACTTTTCAATCTAATACTTTCAGTACTATCACCAAGGCTCTCTGGCACGTCAGCAACATTACTCTACATAAAGACTTACAGATGCAAACAGTTAACGACCACATACGAACATACTACAAAATATTTCATAATAACTTACACGGACATACCAATTCATTGATTCGAGGCATGGCCACAAGTAACAAGCCCGATGGCACCCGAAGGAGGCTTAAAAGAAGCTGGATGAGAGACCTCCTCCACTAACTATAAATATTACACTCAAGACAAGAAGGACGCCGCTGGGTATTCCTCTCCCTTAGGCCTATTCAAAGACCAATCTACATCTTAACATCACACTCGCTGATTGTCGGAACTACTGACAGGTGTGAGTTGAAGAACTGAGTTAATAAAAAAAAATATCAAACTATGAGAAGCTAAGCTGTACTCAAATTTTAAGTTACCTAAAATTTTGAATTTTTAATAATTGGCATCTTATTTATTTACATTATACATAAATACTATATAAAATGGTTGTAATTTTAAAACGATTCATCTTTTTAATGCATATTTTTTATGTATGTTTTCTAAACATAGATTTTTGTATATTGAATAAATTGAATTACAGATTTAATATGCAATAAAAAGTTTTTAGATTTTAATGTGGAAAAATTAGCTCGAAACATACACTAATGTAATAAAAAAAGAATTTTTAAAAGGGTACAATTTTTTAATTCATGGAAAGTAATATTAAAATATTACACAAACATTGGTTTTGTTGAAGTAATAAGTAACATAAGTCATAAAAAAAAACTACATATAACGATAAATTATTTTACCCTTTATATTTCTGTCATCACCACATATGCTGATGACACATGTATCCTATCAGTCAATAACGACCCATCTATTGCATCCTAAACCCTTCAATCCCACATCACAAACCTTGAAGAATGGTGTCAGAACTGGAGAATTAAAATAAATTCCAATAAATCCCATCAAATTACCTTCACCCTTCGTCGTAAACCAATGACTTCCTGTCCGTCAGTATCCTTTAACAACACCTCACTTATTCCTGTTGAACAAATCCGTTACCTAGGACTCCATCTGGAAAAACGTCTAACTTGGAATCCTCATACCAGACTGAAACGACAAGAAACCGCTCGACGTTTCAGACTACTTCAACACTTACTAGACAAACGCTCTAACCTTCCAATCAATTATAAAAGACTGATTTACATGACTATAATAAGGCCTATTTGGACTTACGGGGTTGAGCTATAGGGCTCCACCAAGCCTTCAAATTCCTCTCGCATACAGTCCTTGCAATCCAAAATCCTTCGTAAAATCCTCAATGCTCCTTACTTTGTTACAAATAAAATTATCCATAATGACCTTAATGTTCCTTATGTATCAGATTTGGCCCAATCCAGATATCTGTCCTTCCATAATAAACTTCATAACCATCCCAACCCGCTTGTCTCTAACCTTGCTTCCTATTCGATTCCTGATAACCCTCGGAGGCGTCTGAAAAGAAGATGGCCACGTGATCTTCTAATATAGACATATTATTAGAGTGCTACCAATGGGTAGTTTCTCAACATGTGTTCCATGTCGTTATACCAATGTGCAAATTTACTAGAAGTATTTTTTTGTATACAGTTGTAAATATCATTTAAAATAAATAAATTAAAAGCCCTTTATATTTCTATTAGTTTTATAACACACACACAACAGCGCTAAAATGTTTTTTTTTTCATCAAACTTCTATACTAATTAAGAAATTGGTAAACCCCGTAATGGCCATAATTTGATGCGCGTTCGTTGAGCAATAAAATAAGCCTTCTAAATATACTCGTTTCAATTAAGTTTTTTAAAATTATAAATAAGAGAGAATACAAAAATAATTTCTAGAATGGTTTTATTACAGAAAATAAACAATATAAATATCACAGAAAATTATACTGAAAGTAACAAAAAACAAAAACAAAAATAATTTGCTCTATTTTTCAAAGTGATTGAATAAATTCATTGTCTTATGGCTAATGATTATTAATTTTTAAATGGTAACATTTAATCTTCTGCACCCATAATTTAATTGCATATTATCTATTTTGTCTAATAGAAGACAAAATTCTATTGTTATATGGGTATGTATATCTTAACATTCAAGTTCTTACAAAGTCAGTAAGTAAATAGTAAAACCATCTCTAAAAATCTTAATGGGAGTATTGTTGTTCAGATCGTCCTTTCTGACGTGTAAAACAACGTTTATTTCCGGTGGTGTCACTGATTAAGTTGAAAATTGTTTTGAATTTACTAAAAAGACAACCCTTCGGCCACACGAGGCCTCAGTATCTTGGCCGATGAGAGATTAATCTTTCCGAGCTGCTCTGTATTCCAGTCAGGAACTTGTGGTCTATCTTATTCCAGCTCCAGTGAGAGAAAGCTATGCGATCGAGATCATTCCAGAAGAAATAATTGTTTATGTTAAGAGCTGATCGGTTAGACAGTTTAGGAGGCATAATAACACCTTACTAACTGGTTTACGATTGGGGATACCGAGATTTTATTCAGATTTCATGGGAGAAACAAGGCGTTTAATATTAAGAAAAAATTAATGATGAGTTTGTCGTTTCAGGTTTGCGGACATGCCGTCAACTTGCGGACTAGTGCCCTCCAGTATATATATATATATATATATATATATATATATATATATATATATATATATATATATATATATATATATATATAAATATAAATATATATATATATATATATATATATATATATTTAAATTTGGTATTATATCGTTTTGATCCTCTTTATTCAGGTCTGAAAATCTAAGTTGTTTGACTTTGTATTTTAGTATAAAGTTCTTGGTTTGTTATCTGTTTAAAATACCTATAATGCAGATCGAAACATTATATGCACTATGTCTTGTTTTATTTTGATCTTTTCTTATTTTCTCTTAACTATCTTGCGAAAATTGAAGAACATCTCAAATATTTTTATGTCGCACAATCTTTTTCTATAAATAACTGAATAAAATTTCAATTTTTTTTTTAAATGTGGCATAATAAATGAGGTCTCCTCATCATAGTAAGGATGAAAATTTGTCAATTTTTGTAACATAGCTTTAATTTAAACCAATTCTGAGAAAACTGGGTATCAGATTGGAATACTAGGATGATAGGAACATATTAGGGAAAATATAAAGGTTCTAGTAGCGAAGAAGAAACAACAATGTACCAGATGGACAGAGGAAAGAAAGAGAAAAAATGAAGAGAATATGGTCAAAAAAGAAAACAATCTAAAAATGATGCGTGGTCTATCATTGGCCTGGATAGCAATAAATAATATATATGTTAAGAACTTCGGTATTTTATGTCGGTATTTTTGTACATACATATATCGGTATAAAATACCATCTGAATATTTCTTAACATACTTACTACGAGACTATTCATAATCAGCTTGTATGCTTGAAAATATAAATATTTTAATCCCGCAATATTTGACAAGATTGTTGCCGTTTTACAGAAATGATGTCACCTACTGTTTGATGAGTGCGATTAGAGTGGATGATTCCGCAGAATGGACAATAAAGTCGTAGCGCGGACGTGGATGGAGTTGCTACACAGCCTAACGGCGCGTAGGTGTGATAACAAACCGACAAATCTGCATTTCAATATCGTTCTATGAATCACCGAGTTCAAATGGCCTTGACCAGCATATCGCCGAGGTCAATTGGTGCAAATATTTTTTTTTCCCACAGAAATCAGTAGTAGGAACTAGATTTCAAATGCTCAAACTTGCAAGATAACATCTTTGGAAGCTAGAGGGACTGGCTAAGACATGAATGGTTCCAGATGTGTTAACGGTCCGGCTCCAGCGGCTGGATTCCAGAGACTAGAGCGAATCTGAATCCAGCCTATCATTATCTCAGCTGGAGTCGTATCGCTAAGTGAACCCACGTCTATTTGGGTACCGCTGTAACATATCCTCCGTTAATATGGGTACATACAACGCAGCTAAGTATGCGCCTTTAAGGGCGCATTATACACTCAAATATTCCGGTTAAATGCGATGAAAGGTATTTGCTTATAAGTTTCCTGCATACATCTGAACTATGTTTATAACATTTAATTTTTTTTTTTTAAACAGCTGTAGCCTGTTGCACCAAAAACAATATAGACACTATTTATCTACTATATTGTAATTTTTTTTTCTCTTAAATATGGATTTGCAAACAGATATGAAATCATTGATATAAACTGGTAGGTACTTCTGACATTGGTGGAGAGAGGCGAGGTTTACGGGCTTAAAGGTTACCTCCTCAAAATGGAAAAATATATATTTTTTAATTGATCCATATTTTTTTCTGTGAGAAATTTAAAATAAATACATAATCAAATTATGTACTATTTTGAAATTATAAAGCATTTATTTCAGTTAAAACACGTAAGTTCGTGTAAACAGTTTTTTGACGAATTCTATTAACAGTTTTTTTTTTACTTAAACAGTTTTTTATTTATTATTCAGAGTAATTACTATTATTTAAAAACAGAAGAAATGTTTCTAAAAATTAGTTTTACAGGAGTTTATAAAAACTAACTGTTTCTTTATGATTTATTAGTACAATTTCTGATTTTATTTCCATCAGCTACAATAGGATTATAATTGGATATTGTTACGTACGACCTTTTGCACTAATAGTACA